GACATGAGCAGGGGGCAGACTCAGGACCAGACCTGGACGCTGCAGAAAACACCTGACCCGACGCAGCTACCTGACCAGACGAAGTGACAGGAGGAGACGCAGTGGTCAGTGTGTACAGGCTCGACCCCGGCCGACGTGTAAACGTGGCCAGGTGTCGGCTTGTCTGAGAGTCCGTGCAGTTGGTCACCCGCTGACTCGCAGGAGTGAACTGGTGAACCCCCGCATCCTGTAGGTCAGCACCACTCACCAAGTTCGTAGAGAACGAGGGGAGGTAAAGGCCAGACAGGGTGCCAGAGGGGGCCGCCGGACACGGGAGGACAGTGGAGAAGTGAGCAAGGACAGGACCCCCAGAGGGGTCTGCCAGAGAGACTGCAACTGGCCGGCCAAGCGGCGTGAGTATGGTGCGGTCTCGAAAGAAGGAGCGAGAAGCCCCCGAGTCAAGGGTGAAGGTGTGGGAGGCCAAAGCCAACGCAGTACCTGAGAGAGCAGACTCACCAGCACCTGAGGGAGCAGACGCACGAGCACCTAGAGCAGCAGCCTCGCTAGCACCTAGAGCAGCAGCCTCACCAGTACCTAGAGCGGCAGTCTCAATGCCCGGGTCGGACCGAAAACACCGAAAATAGTCACCCTCATCACTAATAGTCACAGCATATATGGCAGCAAGAATAGCATCAAAGTCAAGGTCAAAGACAGCTACTCCCGCCCTAGACAGCTCGCCCCAGCGGGGGATCTCAGCGGCCTCCGGGAACTGGTGACGCCAAGCGTCCGTCAGGTGGCCAAAGCAGCGCTGGGTGGAGTGCGCACCCCCGCACTGCTCACCCGCGCGGTCCCCGGTCCGTAGGACGTAGGTGCACGGACCAGTACCCCCACCCCGCTGGCGTGCAGCGTACCACTCACGGAGCTGCTGAGGGGGGGGGATGTCACGAGTGCGCTGCTGCTGCTGCTGCTGCTGGCGCTCACCACCACCGGAGCCGGCCCTCTGCGCAGCGCCACCCCGACCAGCTCCACCTCCTCCGCCACCGCCTCCTCCACCGCCGCCACCTCCGCCACCTCCGCTCCCACCGCCACCACCGCCGCCGCCTCTGCCTCCACTGCCGCCACCGACACCTCCACCCCCGCCACCACCCCCACCGCCACTCCCACCCCCTCCGCCGCCTCCACCTCCGCCTCCACCGCCCCCGCTAGCTCGTCCAGCGCCCCTGCCCCCCTTGTCCTTGCCAGGGCGGCGACTCCCGCTAGGGGTAGACGCCGCACCGACCGACTCAAGACCAACGAGGTCGGCCGCAGCAGCAGAGGCAACAGAGGGCAAAAGGGGGGAGGGGGAACACCCCTCAAAGATGGGGGTGCGAGGGTCACCACGAGAGGCTCCTACAGCTACTATGCTCTTCTCTGCTGCTAGGAGGGCCTTCTCGAGGAGGTCAACGGTGAGAGTGGTGGGGCAAACTGAGAGGGAGTGGTCCCTGACTACGCGAAGGGAGTCAGGGAGGCGGGTGACTATGTTGTAGAGGGTGATGTACATGGGGGCGGGGGGTTCTTGGCGCAGAACTCAGCAGGAAGCGCAGCGCGGTAGCGAGTGTCACTAGTGCGGAGGTGCGTAATGAGGTCAGCGGCTGTGGGAAAGGCAGCAAGGTCAGGGAAGAGGTACGGTAGCATGAGGCGGCTTAGTGCAGCAGTGGCAGGGGAGGAGTAGCGTGCAACTACAGCGTCGTACAAGGTCTGAGCACTCTTGTACGGACTAAAGTGCGCACGCTCAGAGGTAGGCAGGTGGCGAAGCACAGCAAGACGTGCAGCAGCATCGCGTGTGGCCCACTGTGAGCGAACAGTGGCGTCAGCATCCGTCTGCCCTATCGCACTGTAGGAAAAGCTGCAGGTCATCTACCCAGACGTCAAAGTCAATGGCCCGACCCTCAGCGTCAAAAGCGAGGACACTAGGGGTAGCCATGACAGCAGTAGACTAGCAGCACGAACAGTAGGGTAAGGGCAGTGCAGTGACAGAGGCGATGCTCTTACCGGACAGGGCGGCTAGGGCGGCTCGGCGGTTCGGCGGCTCGGCGGCTCGGCGGCTCGGGCGGCTCGGCGGCTCGGCGGCTTGGCAGCAACAGCGGCTCGGCGACTCTGCGGCGCTGGCGGCTCGGCGGCTCGGCGGTACAGCGGCTCGGCAGCTCAGCGACTCGGCGGCTCGGGCGGCTCTGGTGGCGCGGCGGCTCGGGCGGCTCAGGTGGCTCGGGCGGCTCGGCAGTAGGTCGGCGGCGCCGGCGGCTCGGTGGTGACGGCGGGGCCGCGTGGGGACGGCGGCGGGGCCGGTAGAGGAAGCGCCGGGGCCGGGAAGGGTAGCGCCGGGGCCGCTGGGTAGGCGACGGGGCCAGCAGAGGTGGCGCCGGGGCCGGGAAGGGCGGAGCCGGGGCCGGGAAGGGCGGTGCCGGGGCCGCAGGGGTAGGCGACGGGGCCAGCAGAGGCGGCGCCGGGGCCGGGAAGGGCGGCGCCGGGGCTGGGAAGGGCGGTGCCAGGGCCGGGAAGGGGGGTGCCGGGGCCGCAGGGGTAGGCGACGGGGCCGCAGGATAGGCGCCGGGGCTGCAGGGTAGGCGCCGGGGCCAGCAGGGTAGGCGACGGGGCCGCAGGGTAGGCGACGGGGCCGCGAGGGTAGGCGCCGGGGCCGCAAGGGTAGGCGACGGGGCCGCGAGGGCGGCTTGGAGGGGTCGCTAGGGCGGCTCGAAGAGGCCGCGAGGGCGGCGCGAAAGGGCCGCAAGGGCGGCGCGACGCGACGGGGCCGCGAGGGCGGCGGAACGGGGCCGCGTGGGCGGCGCGACGAGGCCGCAAGGGCGGCGCGACGTGATGGGGCCGCGAGGGCGGTGCGACGGGGTCGTAAGGGCAACTCGACGGGGCCGCTAGGGAGGCGCGACGCGACGGGGCCGCGAAGGCGGCGCGACGGGGTCGTAAGGGCGGCTCGACGGGGTCGTGAGAGGGGAGCGCGACTCAGGCATAGGCTGAGCGCGCTCCGGGCAGGAAAAAAAAAAACGGTGGGCCCTAGGAACAGTTCCCACAGGGGAACCTGCTCTATACCATGTGAAATTGAACGAGAATGAAAATGACTAAGGGAAAGTTGGGTACAAGTACAAACCCTAGAAAGCTGTACCCCATATGTGCTACCCCACTATAGCCTACAGTAGCTATGTCATATAAATCTGACACGAAGTATGGCCGCGGCCGTGCAGTACCACCAGAGCCAGCAGAGGGACCTCCAGCACCTCCAGCTTCAAGGTCTCCAGCTCCAACTCCTGCAGCACCACTTGCTCCAGCACCAGCAGCACCAACAGTAGGAACAACTCCAGTGCCTCCAGCTCCAACTCTTGCAGCATCACTAGCTCCAGCACCAGCAGCACCTCCAGTAGGAACAACTCCAGTAGCTCCGGCTCCAACTCCAGCAGAACCACCAGCTCCAGCAGCTCCAGCACCTCCTGCTCCAGGGCCACCAGCAGCAGGCTCCACAGCCGCAGCAGCTCCGCTCTGACGCCTCCAGCGGTGACCAAACCACTCGCGCAGCTGTTGTGGAGAGAGAGGCTTACGCTGAGACAAGGCCCCTGCAGGACCTCCAGCAGACTCATCACCCCCCGTCTCAGCAACCGCAGGCTCGACACCCCCAGGCTCAGCACCCCCAGACTCCACACGCTCAGGCTCAATACCCCCAGGCACCGCACCCCCAGGCTCAACACCCCCGGACCCAACACGCTTAGGCTCAGCACCCCCAGGCTCCGCACGCTCAAGCTCAGCACCCCCAGGCGCAGCACCCCCAGGCTCAGCAACCCCAGGCTCCCCACTCGCAGGCTCAGCACCCCCAGTAGAACCAGAGTCAACCGCTACCTCGACAGCGTCTACCTGAGACACACCTGAGGGAGCAGGACCCAGAGGGGGGAGGGGGTTGTCAAACTTATATGCTATAGTCTGTGTAGGCTGTAGTGGGGTAGACTATATGGGGTACAACATTTCTAGGTTTTCCTACTTGTACCCACCTGCTTGCTAGTTCATTCATTCCTCATTCTTTACATGGTATAGAGCAGGTTCCCTCGTGGGAACGCTTAGGGCCCACCACCTAACTCGATCTTTTCTTTTTTTCCTGCCCGAGGCGTGCCCCGTAGGCCGCCCTCACGTCGCGCCATCCTAGAGGCCCCTCGCGCCACCCTTAGCGGCCCCGTCGCCGTCCTTAGCGACCCCGTCGCCGCCCCTCTAGGCCCCTCGCGGCCCCTTCATGGCCCCGTCGCCGCCGCTCTAGGCCCCGTCGCCGCCGCTCTAGGCCCCGTCGCCGCCGCTCTAGGCCCCGTCGCCGCCCCTATAGGCCCCTCGCGGCCCCTTCACGGCCCAGTCGCCGCCCCTAGCGGCCCCGTCGCCGCCCCTCTAGGCCCCTCGCGGCCCCTTCGAAGCCCCGTCGCCGCCACTTGCGGCCCCGTCGCCACCCCCTCTAGGCCCCTTACGGCCCCTTCGCGGCCTCGTTGCCGCCCCTCTAGGCCCCTTGCGGCCCCGTCGCCGCCCCGTCGCCGCCCCTAGCGGCTCGGTCGCCGCCCCTGGAGGCCCCGTCGCCGCCCTTCGCAGCCACCTCGCCGCCCTTAGCGGCCCCGTCGCCGCCCCTTACGGCCCCATCGCTGCCTCTACCGCCCCCGTCGCCGCCTCTACCGGCCCCGTCGCCGCCTCTACCGGCCCCTTCACCGCTAAGCAGCCTAGCAGCTGAGCAGCCGAACCACCCAGAAGCCGAGCCGCCGAGCCGCCCAGCAGCCGAGCCGCCGAGCCGCCAAGCCGCCCAGCAACCGAGCCGCCGAGCCGCCCAGCAACCGAGCCGCCGAGCCGCCCAGCAGCCGAGCCGCCGAGCCGCCCAGCAACCGAGCCGCCGAGCCGCCCAGCAGCCGAGCCGCCGAGCCGCCCTGCCGTCGAGCCGCTACTGTTCCTACCGGTGCGCCCCGGCCCTACTTACTTGGACTGGTGAGATCACTCCCTGCTAGGCCACTGCAGACATGGCTACCCCCAGTGTCCTTACCTTTGATGCTGAGGGTCGTGCTGTTGACTTTGAGGTCTGGGTCGATGACCTCCAGCTGTTCCTACAGTGCGATAGGGCAGACGGACTCTCCCTGTTTGATCTCACCTCTGGTGCCTCTCCTGCCCCGCCTGCTACTGCTGACAGCACTGTTCGCTCACAGTGGGCCACACGCGATGCTGCTGCCCGTCTTGCTGTGCGTCGCCACTTACTGACCACTGAGCATGCGCACTTTAGCCAGTACAAGAGTGCTAAGACCTTGTACGACGCTGTAGTTGCACGCTACTCCTCCCCTGCCACTGCTGCGCTTAACCGCCTCATGCTGCCGTACCTGTTCCCTGACCTAGCTGCCTTTCCCACAGTCGCTGACCTCATTACGCACCTTCGCACTAGTGACACTCGCTACCGCGCTGCACTTCCTCTGAGTTCTGTGCCAAGAACCCCCCCCCCATGTACATCACCCTCTACTACATAGTCACCCGGCTCCCTGACTCCCTTCGCTTAGTCAGGGACCACTTCCTCTCAGTTTGCCCCACCACACTCACCGTTGACCTCCTCGAGGAGCGCCTCCTAGCAGCAGAGAAGAGCATCGTCGCTGTAGAAGCCTCTCGTGGTGACCCTCGCACCCCCGTCTTTGAGGGGTGTTCCCCCTCCCCCCTCTTGCCCTCTGTTGCTTCTGCTGCTGCGGCCGACCTCGTTGGTTTCGAGTCGGTCGGCGCTACGTCTGCCCCTAGCGGGAGACGCTGCACCGGCAAGGGCAAGGAGGGCAAGGGCACTGGAGGGGCTAGCGGGGGCGGTGGGGGTGGTGATGGAGGCAGTGGAGGGGGTGGGGGTGGTGGTGGGAGTGGTGGCGGGGGTGAGCAGTGCGGGGGCCCGCACTCCACCCAGCGCTGCTTCGGCCGACTGACGGACGCGTAGCGTCACCAGTTCCCTGAGGCCTCTGAGATCCCTCGCTGGGGAGAGCTGTCTAGGGCGGGGGTCGCCCCTCCCTGCCTCCTCTCCGAGGCATGGCCTCACGTGTCCTTGTCTCTGGTCTCCCCCGGTCCGTACCTCCCCTACCTCCGGGGCCTGCCCCTACCTGCGTTCCCTGCATCGAGGGGCGGCAGCGCGCGGCCCCTCACTCCTCCGAGTTTCCTCCGACAGAGGCTCCGCTGCAGACTCTTCACATGGACGTGTGGGGCCCCGCCCGCGTCCGTGGCCAGGGTCACGAGCGTTACTTCCTGTTGGTGGTTGACGACTACTCGCGTTACACCACAGTCTTCCCCTTGCGCAGCAAAAGTGACGTCGCTGAGGTGTTGATCGACTGGATCCGCGCAGCTCGTCTCCAGCTCAGAGAGAGTTTCGGCTCGGACTTTCCTGTTCTGCGTCTGCACTCTGACAGAGGCGGGGAGTTTTTCCTCTGCCCGTCTGGGAGCCTTCTGTCGTGCACACGGCATCCGCCAGACCTTCACGCTTCCGGCCTCTCCACAGCAAAATGGGATTGCTGAGCGCCGCATTGGCATGGTCATGGACGTCGCTCGTACGTCCATGATCCATGCGGCTGCCCCCCATTTTCTGTGGCCGTTTGCGGTTCAGTTTGCAGCGCATCAGCTCAACCTTCAGCCCCGGGTCTCCTTGCCAGAGACCTCCCCCACCTTGCGGTGGACGGGGAAGGTTGGCGATGCGTCTGCGTTTCGGGTCTGGGGATCTCGGGCGTTTGTCCGCGACTTGTCTGCGGACAAGCTGTCCCCCCGTGCTGTTCCCTGCGTCTTCCTTGGCTTCCCCCCTGACGCGCCTGGGTGGCAGTTTTACCACCCCACCTCGCGCCGTGTTCTGTCCTCCCAGGACGTCACCTTTGACGAGTCGGTGCCTTACTACCGTCTCTTCCCCTAACGCACTGCGCCCCTCCCCCCCCCGCCGCTCTTCCTTGCGCCAGGTCCTCCCCCGGTAGACCCCCTCCCCCCTCAGGGTCCTGCCCCGTCAGGTGTGTCCCAGGTAGACGCAGTCGAGCCTGTCGAGGAAGCTGTTGACTCTGGTGCTGCTAGAGGTGCTGAGCCTGCAAGTGCCGGGTCTGGAGGTGCTGAGCCTGGGAGTGCGGAGCCTGGGGGTGCTAAGTCCAGGGGTGCGGAGCCTGGGGGTGCTGAGCCTGGGGGTGCGGAGTCTAGGGGTGCTGAGCCTGGGGGTGCTGAGTCTGGGGGTGCTGAGCCTGGGGGTGCTGAGCTTGGGGGTGCGGAGCCTGGGGGTGCTGGGTCTGCTCGTGTGGCCTCTCGCGGTGCTTTGTCGAGGCGGGAGCTACTCTCTCCGCAGGAGCTGCGCGAGTGGTTTGCCCGGCGCTGGAGCCGTGCTGCTAGAGCTTGAGGTACTACTGTTGCTGCTGGTCCCGGAGGTGTTCGTACTGGAGGTACTGGAGCTGCTGGGACTGGGGGTGCTGCTGGGGCTGCTGGAGTTGGTCGTGCTGGAGGTACTGCTGGAGGTGCCGGCGGTACTGGAGCTGCCGGTCCTGCTGGCGTTGGTGCTGCTGGAGCTGCTGGAGCTGCTGGGGGTGTTGGCGCTGGTGGTTCTGCTGGCGCTGGTGCGTCTGAGGGTGCTGGAGTTGGCGCTGTTGGAGCTGGAGGTGCTGCTGGCACTAGTGCTACCGCTGAGGGTACTGGTGCTGTCCCTGCTGGTTCTGGAGGCGCTGCGCGGCCGAGGCTGTACTTCGTTCGGTAAGAACATTATAGCTTATGCTTTTGTGTAGGCTGTAGTGGGGTATCCCATAAGAGGTACAACCCAATTAGGGTTAGTACTTGTACCCACTTCATTCATAATTCATTCATTCTCGTTTCAGTTTTCTCATGGTATCGAGCAGGTTCCCTCGTGGGAACTGTGCCTAGGGCCCACCAAGTCGAAGGTTTTTTTTTTCCTGCCCGGAGGGCGCTCAGCCCGAGTCGCGCTCCCCTCTCTGACTTCGTCGAGCCGCCCTAGCGGTTAAGTCGCGCCGCCTTAGCGGCCCCTGATTCGTCGCCCTAGCGACCCCGTCGCCCTACCTACGGCCCCGACCCCGTCGCCCTACCTGCGCCCCGGCCCCATCACCCTACCTGCGACCCCGGCCCCGTCGCCCCACCTGCGACCCTGGCCTCGTCGCCATACCTGCGGCCCCGGCCCTAGCCCCGTTGCCCTCCTGCGCCCCGGCCTTGGCCCCGTCGCCCTGCTTGCGACCCCGGCCCCGTCGCCCCACCTCCGGCCCCGGCCCCGTCGCCCTACCTGCGTACCGGCCCCGTCGCCCTACCTTCGACCCGGCCCCGTCGCCCTACCTGCGGCCCCGCCGCCCTACCTGCGGCCCAGCCGCCCTACCTACGGCCCACCCGCCCTACCTGCGGCCCCGCCGCCCTCACCTGCGGTCCCCGCCGCCCTTACTTGCGGTCCCCGCCACCCTCACTTGCGGCCCCGCCGCCTTCCCTGCGGCCTCGTCACCTGCTGCAGAGCCGCCCGCCACCCGAGCCGCCCGAGCTGCCTCACCTAGCCGAGCAGCCGACCGACACGCCGCAGTGCAGCAGCACAGCCGAGCCGCCCAGCAGCTGAGCAGCCGGACAGCCGAGCAGCCGAGCCGCCCTGCAGCCGAGCCGCCCAGCAGCCTAGCAGCCGAGCCGCCCTGCAGCCGAGCCGCCCAGCAGCCGAGCCGCCCAGCAGCCGAGCCGCCCTGCAGCCGAGCCACCGTCCAGCCGAACCACCGAGCCGCCGAGCCGTCCTACCTCCGAGCCGCCCGAGCAGCCCCGTCCGGTAAGCATAGCGCCTCTTTCACTGCACTGCCCTTTCCCTACTGTGTGCGCTGCTAGTCTACTGTTGTCATGGCTACCCCTAGTGTCCTCAATTTTGACGCCGAGGGTCGAGCCATTGACTTTGACGTCTGGGTAGATGACCTGCAGCTGTTCTTACAGTGCGATAGGGCAGACGGTCTCTCCCTCTTTGACCTCACCTCTGGTGCCTCTCCTGCTCCTGCTGCTGATGCTGACGCCACTGTTCGCTCACAGTGGGCCACACGCGATGCTGCTGCACGTCTTGCTGTGCGTCGCCACCTCCCTACCTCTGAGCGTGCGCACTTTAGTCAGTACAAGAGTGCTCAGACCTTGTACGACGCTGTAGTTGCACGCTACTCCTCCCCTGCCACTGCTGCACTGAGCCGTCTCATGCTACCACCAGTGTCCTCGCTTTTGACGCTGAGGGTCGAGCCATTGACTTTGAGGTCTGGGTCGACGACCTGCAGCTGTTTTTACAGTGCGATAGGGCGGACGGTCTTTCTCTCTTTGACCTCACCTCTCGCGCCTCCCCTGCTCCTGCTGCTGATGCTGACCCCACTGTTCGCTCTCAGTGGACCACCCGCGATGCTGCTGCACGTCTTGCTGTGCGTCGCCACCTGCCTACCACTGAGCGCGCGCACTTTAGTCAGTACAAGAGTGCTCAAACCTTGTACGACGCTGTAGTTGCGCGCTACTCTTCCCCTGCCACTGCTACACTGAGCCGCCTCATGCTAGCGTACCTCTTCCCTGACCTTGCTGCCTTTCCCACAGTCGCTGACCTCATTACGCACCTCCGCACTAGTGACACTCGCTACCGCGCTGCGCTTCCTGCTGACTTCTGCGCCAAGAACCCCCCCCCCCATGTACATCACTCTCTACTACATAGTCACTCGCCTCCCTGACTCCCTTCGCGTAGTCAAGGACCACTTCCTCTCAGTCTGTCCCACCACTCTCACTGCTGACCTCCTCGAGAAATCCCTCCTAGCGGGCGAGAGGAGCATAGTCGCTGTAGGGGCCTCTCGTGGTGACCCGCGCACCCCCATCTTTGAGGGGTGTTCTCCCTCCCCCCTTCTGCCCTCTGTTGCCTCTGCTGCTGCAGCCAACCTCCTTGGTCTTGAGTCGATCGGTGCAGCGTCTGCCCCTAGCGGGAGACGCCGCTCTGGCAAGGGCAAGGGGGGCAGGGGCACTGGAGGAGCGAGCGGGGGCGGTGGAGGTGGAGGTGGAGGCGGCGGGGGGAGTGGGGGTGGCGGTGGGAGTGGAGGTGGGGGTGGAGGTGTCGGTGGCAGCAGTGGAGGCGGAGGCGGCGGCGGCGGTGGCGGTGGGAGCGGAGGTGGCGGAGGTGGTGGCGGTGGAGGAAGCGAATGCGGAACATGACGACCAGTGCGAGCAGCGCAAACAGGCGACGAAGGACGAGACTCAGGCTCACGACGCTCGGCTAGACCTCCGCTCGGGCCAGTGTAAGGAGAAGGACCATGCAGTGGGGAGGCTGGCTGTAACTACGACTGCGACTGGACAGACGGTCGACACTCTAAGGGGAGTGGAGGACCAGTAGAAGGCGGGAGACCAATAAGCTGCTGAAGGAGTGGAACGAAGTGTGAAATTGAACGAGAATGAAAATGACTAAGGGAAAGTTGGGTACAAGTACAAACCCTAGAAAGCTGTACCCCATATGTGCTCCCCGACTATAGCCTACAGTAGCTATGTCATATAAATCTGACACACCCCCATAGGCAAAGTGGGGGAGAACAAGGGGTCACAAGACCAGTCAAGCAAAGCAAAGCAAGCTCAGGGTGGATCACAAAGTCACCACACATTCCGAGCACAAGTTCAAGGCCACAAGGCCAGTTCACATGCAGGATTACATATATATTTAAGGCTAGACAAGCAAGAGCAGGTGTATATATATATATGCAACAGTACAAACAAGGTCAAGGGGTGAGCAAGTGAGGCAAGGTAGGCACAAGACCCAGCTGAGTACAGAAGCGCTGATGATCACAAGGCGCAAGTGCCTTGGTGAAGATATCAGCAGTGTTGGCCTGAGAGGCCACGTACGCAAGGCGCAGCTGACCACGCTGCTGTAGCTCACGAGCAAGGAAGTAGCGGAGAGCAATGTGCTTCGTTGTGTGCTCCAGTCTGTGCGCAGAAACAGTGACGGGTCAGTAG